GGGCTGTGCAGAGGTGTGAGGAGCTGAGGGGTGATGGCAGTGCTCTGCAGGGCTGCCGAAGTGATTCTCTCTTCAGTGTCCCCCTGCAATCCTGCTGCAGCATGTGCTGCTTCAGGGACACTGCTGGGTAACACTTCTGATCTAAATATGGTAAAGACCTTGGCCATGTTTCAGAGTTCTGCTTTGAAGAGAAAAGGAACCCCTGAACATTAGGATTTCCATAGGAACATTCTTTGGGTGCCACTGTGAAGCTCCCCTGGGCTGGGGAGCCCAGGCAAAGAGGCTGTGAAGAGCCTAATGACAAGGGAAAGTGCAAGTCCCTACCCAGAGTCAAGAGTATTTTAAGAACAAGAGGCACTGCATGGACTGCTCAGGGAGGAGGAGGAGTGAGGAAGGAGTGAGGAGAGCAGATCCTGAGGGGAGATGAGGATCTGGAAGGAGAGATTAGGGCTTTAGTGGCTCTGCAGTGCTGACAGCAGCAAGCTCTGCCTCTCAGGGATGCCTCAGCTTTAGCTTTTCTATTTTTCAGATTTAGTGTGTGGGTCTGGGCTTCATATTATGGGATGGTGAGCTCTCTGCACAGAGCAGGGAGACAAAACAATTCCTGCTCTAGCTGGGGACCAAGGACAAACGATCCAGATCTCAGCCCCAAGAGCACAAACAGCGTGGACAGAAGAGAGAAAAACAAAAAGGATGGGACTTCCTGGGCTGGAGCCGTAATTGGACAATTAGCTCCAATATGCTAATGACCCAGAACTTTTATAGAAGTGTGAGACCCTGTGACCAGTTGTCCATTTTTTTGTGGCCATTTTGGGTTGTGTTGCCCAAGGTGGATCCATTGAGGCCTCTTAATAAATCCCTACTTTATTCTTTAGCTCAGTCTAGCCTCTGTTCTAGGTCAGCCTTCACAAGGCATCACTGCAGTCCCTGCTCTGGTGTTCCTGGGGAGCTGAGCTTCCCTGCATCCACTGGGATGGGAGTGACCCTGACTGGGATAGATGAGTAATGTGATGGGTGACTCTCACAGTTAAAAGGCAAATATTATGTACATGTTAAGAGAAGTTTTACAGATTTATAGTTAAGTTTCACCCCCCACCTTGCATTGTTATCAGGGGGGTGGCCTCGGTTTGGGACATTTGGGAGGGTCAGCTCCTTACTGTGGCAGCACCTGATCTCCAACTGAGATTTAAGGAACTGAACACCACCACTGGACAGGGAGGAGGAGTTGACAGACTTTGGGAGAGCTAAAGGGTTAAAAGGCAAAACCTCCATTGTGTGGGTGAGCAGATGGTGGGAAAAATCCTCTGCTCCCGGTGCTGTAATATTTTCTCTGTTAGGTCTTCTGTTGTATTTTTGATGAAAGTTTGTATTGTTTAAAAGGTTTTAATAAACCTTTTACATTTTTTTGGAAGTGAGCACCATTTCTCACAATGGGGGCTGAGCATCCCTGCCCTGCTCCAAGGAGCTGCAGAGAGCAGCACCATCCCTCTCCCCAGCCCTCAAGGTTACAGAGCACTGGGGAGGAGGAGAGGGTGTGCATGGTGACTTGACAGAAATACTAATCCAGCTGAGCTGCAGGATTAGGGAAAGAAATTAACAGGAGAACCTGCAAAAAACATGAACATAAGAGGCATATCTGGCTATTTATTCCTCTCCTGGGCAGGGAACAGTGTTCCTTTGATGTGAGCCACAGTTACACAGCCGGGGGGGGAATTCTGCAGCCAGTGATGAAGTTAAGGCTGGAGCTGATCCATGAACACCTGCAGAGGGTCTTGTACCCCTGCTCCTGTCCTTGACCCCCTCCACCAGCACCTGCATCAGCTCTGGCACTCATGGGCTGAAAAATAAGTTCTTTCAACCTACTAATGTGACAGAAAACGAATGTGGGAGAAGAGATGAGCTCAGGGAGTGTCTGGGAAGCCAGGAGGGCGTGCCCAGCTGAGCACAGTGGCAGAGAGCCCTGGGTGAGAACAGGCTCAGTTCTTGGTCAGAGCTGTCACATCCATTCAGGTACAACACCACACTGCACAACAGCACCTGGGGACATTCTTCTGCCAGAATCCCTCAGGAAGGAGCTGTGGTGGTGGTGTCTCACATGCAGGAAACATGCCAGGATAGTGTGGAGTTAAATTCCAGGCTGAGGTTAAGAGAGAAGATCAGCTCCTGATCCTGCTGCTGACTCTCTGTGACCCTGGGAAACCCTGATGGGACAGACAGGTCCCTTCTCACTTTGCCTCTGGGGCTGGAGGTCAAACAGTCCCTTCAGAGAGCCCATCCTAAAGAGCTGCTCCCATTTGGAGGGAGGCCAGGGCTGGCCCTGCACCATGGCTGTGCCCCCTCCATGTGCTGGGAGGGCTCTGTGCCACAGGGCACTGTGCCCTGGTAGCCAGGAACCTCAGCAGCCCCTTGGCTTGGAGGGGGGCATTCCCTTTGAACTCCCCACGGTTCCTGCCTCCCCAGGGATGCACCCAGCTGCCCTGCCTTGCACAACCAGCACAGCACGAAGTGAGAGGTCCAGGAGGAGATTTTGACAGGGATTGAATATCCCTGTGTTCAGAGACTCCAAGGCAGAGCGAGACAAGCCTGCTCCTGAAGCCAACAGACAGCACAGCTTGGCTTTTATTCCTCTTTTCCAAAGCCCTGCTTTTCCAAGGGAAGAACCAGTGGGTCTGGACAATCTGAAACCTCCCCAAAAACTCACTCCCGAATCTTGTCCTGAGGATCCCACACAGCAGAGCCTCCCAGGGCAGTTCCAGCTGTAACTTCCTAACCTACTCTCCTGTCTGTTTGTGCTGTTCCTCTCCCTCTCCACCGTGTCCCCTTCCTTGGCCACTCCCAGCACAGCTCCCGAGACCCCTGCAGGCTGAGCTGTGCTGAGGGACAGGCAGAGCCCACAGGGTACTCGGCAGAGGTCTCTCAATTGCTGCTGGCTTCTACCAATCAACCTCCAAACTTGTTGAGATTCTCTCTCTAATCTGCTTCAGCAGACACTTTGTCCCAGGAGGACTGAACTAAATTGAGTTGCAGGGCTGCAAATCACGCAGCAGCCTCATTTTAATCATGGCTATTCAAGTGCTAAGGAATGCACAAAGTAAATACATATTTGTTTTTAGGCCATCACTTGTCCCATTTGCAAGAGGAAAATGAATGTACTCAATCCCTGAGGCTTCGATCCTCGCAGGATAACTTGGGGAATGAACCTGCCATAGGAAATACACCCTTGGTTCAATCCTCTCCCTGCTGCCAGAGCTCTTCTCCTGGCTCTGTTAACCCTCTCACTCACATCCCCAGCTCTAATGAGGCTTTAACACTTCCCACTGTGCCTGCCACCCCCTCTGCAGTCCCTGCTGCCTTCCTGGGCACTGATTTCCCTGAGCACTGCTGGGATCCGAGTGCCAGGGTCAAGCTGTGCCCTTGTGTGAGCGCAGGCTGGAGCCAGAGCCCGGAGTGCCCAGTGCTGCAGGTGCAGTGCTGGCTGTGCCAGGCTGGCCAGGTGGTTGGCTTTGCAGATCAGTCCTTGACTTCTGTGCTACTTCAAACACATTTGAATAAATACTCTGCATCCCGAGATTTGATCAGCCTGCACTCCCAGTGCTGCAGTGTCCTTCTCTTTGGCGTGCCCTGCTCTCTGTGGGGATCAGCCTGGCTCAGCTGTGACACAGAGCTAAAACTCTGGATGCTCTGGATGTATGCCAGGCCTCCACACTCTTCTCCTGGGCATTCCCCCTCCTTTAGCTCTAGCTGTAGTTTGGGATCTTCCCTATGCTCCAAGCATGAGTCAACCTCCGGTCTCCTTTGCTCTCCCTCTCTGCCCTGCTCTCCTCCCATTGTAATTCCTGTGTCTCAAACCTGTTCCAAGGTCATCCCACTTCCTCCCTGAACTTAAAAATTCATCTGAGCAGTGCCTGCTGGTCACAGTTTCCTCGCTTGAATCACAGCTCCCCTCTCACCTAAACTGCAGCTGGCAGGGTCAGAATAGGAACAATTCCTCTTCTTAATCTCCAGATCAAATGTACCCACAAGACCCTGGCCATAAAACCTCCCCTGCCCCACTAACTGAGAGCAGCTGCAATTTTTGGATGCCTTACCCAGCTCACAGGTTCAGTGACTGTGGCAGTGGCAACCTGATCAGATGTGACATTTGTGGCTGTGCCCTCCATTCTGCAGACCAACAATGGTGCCATTAATTCCACAGCTACCTGGGGAACCTGCTCCAAGCTCCCGAGCCTTGGTCTGGGCTTTGGGGGTTGTTCTGCAGCTTCACTCAGGAGCACAGGAGTGAATAATCTGGATACTTTTATAGAGAGCACTTGCTAAACAAAAGCTGCACATTCTGGAACACTCACTTGGGGTTTGAAACAAGATGTGGGAAAGGAAGAAGTGACTTAAAATTTCAGGTACCGGCGACATTGATAATGGTGAACAGAGACAGGCAGAGACAACAACAACCATCTCCCTGCCCTGCTGTTAGCTGATCCTGCTGCTGTTTCTCCCTGAGGGGTGTGGGAGTGCACGGATGGGGATGAGTGGCCAAGGGGCAGCAGCCCTGGCTTCACAGACAGTGCTGGCTCCCTCCTCACAGCAAGGAAACCACCCCAGGATCCTCTCAGACAGCACAGAGACCACCCTGGCTCCCCTCAGACAGCACAGAGACCACCCTGGGCTCCTCTCAGACAGCACAGAGACCACCCCAGGCTTCCTCTGGATAGCACAGAGACCACCCTGGCTCCCCCCAGACAGCACAGAGAGCATCCCGGGCTCCCCCCAGACAGCACAGAGACCACCCTGGGCTCCTCTCAGACAGCACAGAGACCACCCCAGGCTTCCTCTGGATAGCACAGAGACCACCCTGGGCTCCATCTGGACAGCACGGAGACCATCCTGGGGTCCCTCCTGATATCACAGACCACCTCATTCTCCCTCCAGACAGCACAGAGAGCACCCCGGGCTCCCCACAGACAGCACAGAGAGCACCCCAGCCCCAGCAGGGCTGTCCTTACCTTCTCCTGGTACTGGCGGCGCGAGGAGTCCAGGGACTGGATGAGGGCGGTGGCGTGGCCGATGAACATGGCGTAGCAGGTGGCCCCCACGATCATGCTGAGCATGGTGAGCCACACGTCCGACATCCCCACCGGCGCCTGCTGCCCGTAGCCGATGCACAGCATGTGGCTCATGGCCTTGAACAGGGCATACGAGTACTGCTTCCCCCAGGAGTCGTTCTGCAGGGACAGGGCACAGCCTTAGCATGGGGACATGGCTATGGGGCAGGAAAGCACCCCTGGCATTGCACCCAAAAATCCCTGTCAGAGCCACTTTGATGTGTTACACAAGAAATTTAATTTTTTGGTGGCTTGGAGGACTGGGGGGGGCAGGGTCTTTGAAAGCAAGGAGGGCTATGGAGTCTCAAGCCACAAACCCCTCAGAGCCCCCCATAAACTCCCATATCCCTCACAAAGCCCCTACCTCTCAATGTCCCCATAATTCCCATATCCCTCACTGAGACCCTACACCTCAATGCCCTCACAGCCCCATAACTCCCATATCTCTGAGACCCTACACCTCAAACCCCTCAGAGCCCCTACAACTCAATGCCCTCAGAGCCCCCATAACTCCTGTATCCCTCACAGAGCCCCTACACTTCAATGCCCCCATAGCCCCATAACTCCCATATCCCTCACTGAGACCCTACACCTCAAAGCTCCCAACTGAACCCAAAAATCCCTGCTGGAGGCACCTCGACACAAGAAATTTACTCTGTTACAAAAGGAATTTAATTTGAGAGCCCTCACCGCCCCAGAAGCCCAGCTCAGTCTGTTTGGAAAAATAAGCCCAGATCCCAGATCTGAGATCAGCACTTTGGCCCTGGTTTTTAGAGACTCCATGTGCTTTTTCCAGCAGGGAAGGCAGCCAGTGTGCCCTGCTGGTAACCTGGGATAAACCCAGATGATGCACTGGGAGATCTTCACAAAGACCCACGTGTGGGAGAGGGAACTGAAGGAAATAATTTCCTCCAAGGGAAATGGACTTGAACTGAGAACTATAACAGAGAGCCTGAGCAAGGCTGCCAGCAGCAGGATCTGAGAGTGAGGAAAATCACTGCTCAGCAATTTAGGAAATGGCCAGGGTCCTTGGTCATTACCTGGAGAGATGAGAAGGGCAGAAAATGAAGTTGGTAATGTCTGGACAGCAAGTTCTTCTCAGTGCAAAACTGGGCTTTTTCAGAGAGCTGAGGAACTACAAATGGTCTCATTTGAGAGCAGCAACGTCCTGCCAGGAGAGAGTGCTGAGACACCTTGTGCTCTCCTGCAGCTCACACAGGCAGCACCTCAGCACGGCACAGAGAGAAAAGCCAGCACAAGTTTTCTGGTGATTCTGCTTAGCCTGAGCTCATGGAACAGCTCAAGGTGCATTTGCCATCCTGTGGGTATTATCTGCCAGCAAGTTCTTGCTGTGAAACCTTGAGGAGTAACTGCTGTGGCATCACACATGGCTCCTACAAGGATGTGAAAATGCCTCTGCTGGGTGACACTCGTGGCAGCACTGGCATTCCTCAGCTGCTCCCTGTTCCTAAAGGGGCCAAGGTTATGGATGGAGCTCTGCAGACACAGGTGCTGTGGCAGCTTGGAAGGTCACTGCACAGGCCTGCTGCTGGCTTGTCAATAAACAGGAAGTTCTCCTGTGACCTCCATCCAGAGCACCAGTGGCCAGCAGTGCTGGGAGCTCTGGAGCTCACTGGGCACCTCCTGGAGGTATCTCAGCACGGCCAGGGGGGTGGCTGATGACCTCCCTGCAGACAGCCCTCGGTGCCACTGATGCCCATGGAAACTTCTCACTGTCCTTACGGAGAGCAAACAGTGACAAAGCTGGCTGGGAGCTGGGCACAGGGCTGGAACCTCTGCCGAGGGCTGGTGCTTGGTTAGGAGACAAGCACACAGACAAAGCCAGCTGATAGCATTACCTGGCCAGATTCAGTTTCATTATGCAAGACAGGCCTGATTCCCACTGCAGCAAGAAGGGCAAAGCCACAGAAGTGACAGCAGAGCTGACAGGGGAGCAGTGGCACAGCCACAGCCCAGGAGGGACTGCTCCTGCTGCCGGTGCCAGCCTGTCTGGGCTCACCTCCCAACAGAGCAGGACCTGGAAAAACGACCCTGCAGCCAAGAGAGAGGGGCAAGAGACAAAGTGGCCATTGGTGATTGCTGCTGGCTGTGCCCTAGACTCGTGTGTGAGGAGCCCAGAGGTGCTGCACACAGGGCAGGACAGGGCACAGGGAATTTGTCCCCTGGCCAGGGCACAGGAAGGGTCACAGAGGTGTGAGGCCAAAGCAGTGACCCCTCCTGTTCCCCTGCCTCCAGGCTGTGCTGGGGCTCTGAGCCTGGCCAAAGAAATGCTGGGTACCCCCAGGTTTTGTGGCATTTTTGGTTTCCACCCCCAGGTTTTGTGGCACTTTGCAGACTCACTTCTGCTCCATGCAGGCACTGGGCCTCTCACAGCTGCCACAGGCACCCTGCCCTTCCAGGAGCCCCCTTCCCTCAGCCCTGCACTCCTGGCACTCTGAAACCATGGCCCTGCACTCAGGGCATGGCAGCTGCTGTGACTTCCCTGGCTTTAGCCCATCCATTGTCCCTCATCCTGACAGCAGCAGGCAGTCGTCACATTTGGCCATTTTGCTTAAAATGCTGCATCCCTGCAAAGGTGGGAGCACACTGCCAGTGCTACGGAGTCTCACAGTCCATGGTGCTGGGGCACAGGGAGCAGTGCAGCTGCCCAGACCCATCCCCTGCTGAATGAATTCCTTTCCCATTCCTCACTGGCTGTTGCAGGAATGCTGCTGCCCTCTGAGTTCAGTGTGGCAGTAGTTTAACAGGGCAGCACATCACCACAAACCTGAGAGCAGGGACAAAGGAAGCTGAGGGAATTCCAAAGGGAATCTGGGCAGACAGAGCAGTAATAGCTGAGCTGGAAAACTGGCTGCCAGGCTCTTTAGTGGCTGTGAACATCTGGGTACCAGGCAGGCTGGAGGTTTAAAAGCCATTCTTCCAGCAACTTGCTGCTCAGGAGTGCTGTTTCCAAGGAAGCTTGCCAGTGTTTTGTAGGAATTAGTCATCCAAAACTCTGCCATCCAGCATGCCGAGCCCCTGCAGCCTGCACAAACGCTGCTGGCTCCCTGGGAATTGCACAGCTCCGAGCCCCAGCCCAATTCCCAGCAGCAGCAAGGCTCCTGTGAGGACAGGCTGAAGGATGACAGACTGGGGGGTGGGAGCTGCAGGAAAACACAGAGCTTTCCAAACAAACCCTGAGCACCCAGCTCTGCTGGGAGAGCACGTCAGGGCTGCTCAGAGAGAGGCACTTCTGTGAAGGGGAAGCCTTTCAGAGCAATTACCTTTAGGGTACCCAGTGTGAAGAGCACTGGATGCTCTGTGATGATTCTTCACTTACAGGTCCTGGTACCTCTTCAGCTTTCAGGTTTTTTGTTTCCCACGGGATGAGCAGACAGGTCAAGCCCACAGCACTTTAGGCCAGACTAGAAGAGGTTCCAGATGCAGTGTGGTCACGGGTTTATCAGCACCAGGTGCCTCACACTGCCACAGCTCCTTCCTGTAAGAGCCATACCCTATCTAACACCCAACTACACCAGCCCCCACGGCAGCAGGGCTGAACCACTCCACAGATACTGGAGTGGCTAAAATGGCCCATTAGGGCAGGGAAATGAGGCCTTAAACTGCAGGGGGAAAATGACTCCTCGTTAAGCAAATCCCAAAGCATGCAAAAGCAGAGCTACAGATCTGTGCCTGTTCACAGTCAAGAGGGGGTTATCTCAGAGGCACCAAGAGACTTTGCAAAAAGCAGTGAAATTACTTTGAAGCAGTTTCTCAGACTGGTTTGTTTTTAACATCCAGTGCTGGGTTTCTCTGGCATTAGAGACTGGCCTGCTCAGATCCACCTTTGAATACTTGGAGGCAATTCCCTGGAACACTTCAAAGGCACTGCTGGGTTCTGTAGTACCTTACAGAAGCACCTGAAGGCAAACTGTGGTGTCTGACAGAGTACTTTGGTTCCGATGTACATGTGAGTGTGCCTGGTTGAATCCTCCCTGGAGAGGAGGAGTGACATGGAGAAGTACTGGAAGTTCTTGGGATAGGGGTGTAGTCCACCATGAACACCTGGAGAACTCAGAAGCTGTCTCTGACCATCTCTGCCCACCCCTGGAACTTCTGGGCAGAGAAAACACCCCTCCAGATCCAGTTGGAAGGGTGGGAGTAGTGGGGGAACACATGGAGATGACAGGTTAAACTTCACTTTGGACAGAACCTGCCTGTTCCAGGCTTGTTTCCAAGGGAAGCTCACATGGCCTTCACCTGACAGCAGGGATCTTCTCCAAGTACCCCTGTCCCAGTGATCCCAGGCAGCCTTTCCTGGGAGCCCTCCCAAGAACCCTGTGCTCCTGGAGATCCAGACCTGGGCACCCCCACCTTGCCTGGGCTCTTGGTACCTGTAGCCAGGTCTGTGCACAGAGTGCTTCTGCCTCCTTTCCAGGCCTGCTGCTGTGCCCACCTCGTGCTGCTCCCAGCTGGCCTCCCTGGGCAGCCCCTGGAGGTGCCTGGCACCCTGCCTTCCCTGGAAAGGTCAGTATTCCCAGTTATGGGCTGTTCTGCCTGCCCACCCTGCTTTGGACTGGTTTTGGCCACAGCTGGGTAGGGCACTCCCTGTGCCTGTCACCCTGGGCTCCAGGTTCCCACCCCATGGCAAGTGCTTCTGCTGCTCCTGAGACTTTCTAGAACATGGAATCTCCTGCAGATTCCTGTGCCTGTCACCCTCAGGTGAAGCTTCCCACCCCATGGGAGCAGCACTGCTCCTGCTGCTCCTGACAGACTGTCCAGAACATGGAATCTCCCTCAGATTCCTGTGCCTGTCACCCTGGGCTCCAGGTTCCCACCCCATGGGAAGTGCTCCTGCTGCCCCTGACAGACTGTCCAGAACATGGAATCTCCCTCAGATTCCTGTGCTTGCTGAGGGAGGGCAGGAGGGATGAGCTGGCCCAGAGGCTCGGGGGGAGCTGGGAATCCCAGCAGATCTGTGCAGGATTGTTCTCTGCCACACTCTGCAGCCATTCCTCTCCCCCTTTCCATCAGCAGCCCTCGGCAGGGTGCTGTGAGCAGGGAGGGGCAGAGCTCCACGGGAATGTGTTCTGCTGGAGGGGAGCTGATCAGAGTTTGCTGCCTGGCCTCAGGGACCTCTGTCCTCCCTGCAGGGTGTGTGGGTTCAGCACAGCACCCAGGAGAGGAGGCCACGTGTTCCCAGCAGCTTTCGGGGCTCAGCAGAGTTCAGATCTCTGGGAGAGGAGCTGCCAGGCCAGCTCTGGGGGAGCAGCACGCACTCTGTAGCTGACTCACCAGTGTTTCCACTTTTAATAAAGTGCACTGCAGGAAAGCTAATGCTGAAGCCCCTGGGATTGGGAGTCAGCAATTAATACTGCAAACATCCTGCCCTGCTGTTTCAGGAGTCAGCCAGACACCCACAGCTTCCACGGCTGTTGAAGATGGAACACGAGGCATGTGGAAAACACCCAGATGAACCAGACTCGGGGATTTGTCGAGGCCCTGAGATGATTTTGGCAACACCAGACCCTTCACAAATCCCCTGGATGAAGATCAAACCTTTAGGAAACAGATGGGAGGTGATGAATCTTCTTTCCCTGCAGCATGGAAATGAGGGCTGGTTTTATGGAGTGCCAAGTGGTGGGAAACCCCGGAGCAGAGGAAGAGCACCACGAGCACGCTCACAGACAAAGCCTCCAAAGCATCTGGACCTCACTTCCAGCTCCCCTTGGCTGCAGCAGCTTCAGAAGATTCCCTTTTCCCAGATTTCTGGCTCCTGTGTGCGATCAGGGCAGCCATGCACCAGGATATTTGTTTATCTCCTCAGAACTCACACCAGGCTGGTACAGAATGTCCCAAAATCCCTGGCACAGAGGCCACCCTGGCCTCTTCCCTCCCAGCTGTGTCCATCACACAGAGCCATGCTGGAACCTTCCATCCACATCCTGCCACCAAGGCCTGAGAAGAGCCCAGAGCTCCAGTTTCTTGTTTCCTGACTCTGTGGCCTCTCTCAATACTCCCCTCCAGATTAGATGTAAATTGTTTCACTGATATTGCCACCCACATCCACTGCTGGTCCCAGTGACACGCCTGGAAATCTTCTCAGGAGATTAAAGGGCATTATTGGGAGAAAAAAACCTACTTTTTTCCCCAAAGAACTACTGCACTCTTTGTTAAATATTCCAAACCCAGGCTATTTTGGGGCTGGCATATTCCCACACAGCTTCTGGAGTGGAAGCCCCCTGAACTATAGGTGGGGCATCTCTCCAGTTCCTCATCCCACTTTCCTGAGGCTCCATTTTCAGAGATAATGACTTTTTTTTTTTCACTTCTTTTAAGTGGAACAAAAAAAAAAAAAAAAGGTGATTTAGCTGCAGGGAAGAAGCAGAAAAAAAAATCTCCCAAGGCAAGTTTAATTCCCAGCTTCAGAGGCTCTCAAGGCTGGGAAGACAAGGCTGCAGCATGAGGAAAGCTCTGCTCTGGATAGGAGCTCCCTCCCCTGCCCTCCTGGAGCCTGCTGAGCCTTCCTGCCTCTGGAATGCATCCTGCCCCCTCTCCCCAGCCTTGCTGCTAAGATTTGCCTTGGCTAAATCTTTTCTTCCTCTGTCCCATGTCCTGCCACTTTTGCAGACCCCTTCCCTTGACTACAGCTGGCAGCTTCAAGCACCAGCTTGCACCTCTGCCCCGAGGGAGGGATGGATGGGGAGAGCCAGGAGCTGCTGCTGCCATCAGCAGCCAAACGTTGGCATGAGGGAATTGTGGTCCAAATCTGCTGCTCTGAAGCCATCCTGCCATGGCCAAGTCACCCCCAGGATGGGATGAGGCCACCTGCACCTCTGAGCTCCCTGGCATGAGGAGCTGAGCGTGCTCCTGGCCCCGAGCAGCACAATGGGGTCCCAATCTCTGACTGCTCCTGCCACAGAAATAAAGCAAAGGCAGCATGGGGAAGGCCAGGCAGCTGCTGCACAGGGTGTTGTTCTGCCAGAGATAAACAGAGGGTTCCAGGCTCCAGAACTGGCAGTCTGGCAGCAGCAGGAAGAGAACCATTATTGCAGAGAGCAGAAATGAATAAATAAACAGCAAACAGATGACTTTTCCATGGATGCTCACTCCTGCAGGCACGGGCAGCCTGTGCCCACAGCCCAGCACGTGGGAGGCATGGCAGGCTGGCACATCTTTGATACATTTTACATTTGTTCTGTTCTGCCCCAGTGCTTGATTATTTCCTTTATTCAAGAAGAAATTGGCTGGGGGAATCTGGAGGTTAAGAACTGCAATAACAGGCAATTTTTTAAGCTTTGTCAGTTTTTGCTGCTTAATCAACTGGACATTGTCCCTTTGAATAAAAGCTCCTGAATTCTCAGCAAGATGGTTGAAAGGTACAATGAATTTGCCCTGCCTTTGCCATATGGTGTCAAACTCCCTCCCAGCAACAGCAGGGCACAGCTTGGGATGGCACTGGGCAATCTGGCTCCTCATCCTGTGACCGCGGCTCACTCCGGGGTGGGTGGGTGGTCACACCGACCCTTCCAGGGGGTATGGGGCAAAGGGACCAGCAATGGGAATCATGGATCAGCCCCAGCCCTGTCTCTGGGACTCCATACACTCAGATTCCAGCGGGAAGCAGTTTCCATGCCTGCTCCTTGCTGCTCGGTGCCAGGAGAGGGAGCCTGGCTCCTGCCTTCCGCGGCTCTGCCCGGGCCGGTCATGCTCCGAGCCCCAGGACCGTCCCTGCAGGACCTGCCTCCCTGTCCCGGGACTGTGTCCCTGCAGGACCTGCCTCCCTGCCCCGGCTCTGTGTCCCTGCAGGACCTGCCTCCCTGCCCCGGCTCTGTGTCCCTGCAGGACCTGCCTCCCTGCCCCGGCTCTGTGTCCCTGCAGGACCTGCCTCCCTGCCCCGGCTCTGTGTCCCTGCAGGACCTGCCTCCCTGCCCCGGCTCTGTGTCCCTGCAGGACCTGCCTCCCTGCCCCGGCTCTGTGTCCCTGCAGGACCTGCCTCCCTGCCCCGGCTCTGTGTCCCTGCAGGACCTGCCTCCCTGCCCCGGCTCTGTGTCCCTGCAGGACCTGCCTCCCTGCCCCGGCTCTGTGTCCCTGCAGGACCTGCCTCCCTGCCCCGGCTCTGTGTCCCTGCAGGACCTGCCTCCCTGTCTCGGGACTGTGTCCCTGTAGGACCCCCTGTCCCAGCACTGTGTCCCTGCAGGACCTGCCCCAAACCCTGGCACTGTGTCCCTGTAGGACCTGCCTCCCTGCCCCGGGACTGTGTCCCTGCAGGACCTGCCTCCCTGCCCACAGCGCCGGGGAGCGGTGGGACGGCCCCGGGGGATGAAAGGAGGAACGGGAAGCTGGGGGATGGCAGTGGGTCCTGCAGAGATGACACCCAGGGGCTGGGTTTAGGGCTGAGAGATGGGATAGGGAGCACAGCACGTGGGAACCCTGCCCCTCATCTCTGAGCTGGTTAATTAATTTTATATATAAAATACACATACACACACATATATATATACACACATATATACATACATATATATATACACACACACATATATATAAATATATAAATAAAACATATTAAAATATATTTCTATTGTATATTATATATATTTATTATATGTTATATACTATGTGATATACTATATACTATATATTATCTATTATATGATACGTTATATATTATATATTATATATATTATATATTATATCTATTTTTATATAATTTTCGTTATTTATATTTAAATATTTATTATGAGCTGATCAAGGGGATGAAACATGCAACACCTGGTGTTGGCCTCACTCTTTGGAAAGAGGCAGTGGGAAGACAGTGGAAACAGGGGGAAAAGACAGACCAGGGCAGAAAGGAGGAGCCCCGAGCAGGTCCACGGGCTCTGCGGCCGGCACTCACCACCATGCGGTTGAGGGACACCCAGCAGTCGTCGGGGAAGTCCTGCAGCATGGGCACCAGGAACTGCAGGCAGCCGTCCCAGTGGCACAGCAGCAGCATCATCCCGATGAGGTTGAAGATCCTCACCACGGCGCTGGCCAGGTCGTAGGTCATGTGGAAGATCTGCAGGCACACAGGGCAGTGAGATGGCAGCTCCCCCAAACAGCCCCCAGTGTCATTGCACACCGTGCCAGGCTCCAGAACCCTGCTGAAGGGACAGGAAAGCTGCACCAGCTCAGCTCAGGCATAGTGTGCAAGCAGAACAAGCTGAAAAACAGCCTAAAAACCAACATACAGAACCAGGCAAGCAGAACCAGCTGAAAAACAGCCTAAAAAACAACATACAAACTCATCATCAGTCACCCCTCCTGCCCTGAGACTTTGCCTTCTAATTTACCATTAAAAGCTCCATAACTCCTTCTGTAAAATAAGCTGGTTGCAAATGTTTCTGGACTATCAGCTGCTTCTCAGGAATCAACTCTATAATTCTATCTTTTAGCTGCAATGCCCTTCTTTGGTTTCTGTTCTTGCTGGGTACGTGTTCCACAGTGACCCATGGTGGCATCTGCCTTTGTACTGGATGTCAGCTGCAGTCTCTGCACGAACCAAATGCAACAAGGAACGGCCTCCAACTCAGCAGAGGCTTCTGGAAGAGGATCTGATTTATCTCTTTTCTTGTGGTCCTTGTATTCTGCTTCTATACCCCTGCCCAGGTGGACAAGGAAAATGGAACCATGGCAGAGAGGGCTGGTTTCCCTCATCTGTCAGTTCTTCACGTGGAAAATAAAGCTGCAAACACAACTTTCTTACAGGTCAGAAGCAACACAGCCCCTGATCCACGGGGGTTCAAGTGTATCACCTGGGCATCACCTTCCAAGGGACATGAGTGAGTGTCAGGGTGGTTTGTGACACAGGGGACAGACAGGCTGTGTGATATGTGCCCAAATCCATACACCTCCTGGCTGCTCCAACAGGGACAGTCCTGCTCCTCCCCTCACCATGGCACTGTGTGCCTGCCACCTTTGCCCACACCACAGATTGGCCTCTCATCCCACAGGAAGGCAGCTCAACAGCTAAAACAGCAGAAACCTTTGTTATCAGGCAAAGGAATTACATTTTTCCAGCTGGAATTGCTGCTGTTGGTGCTGGCTGTCCAGCTGGAATGTCTATCTCCACACCAGCCATGCCCATCTCAGAGTCACAAGCCCACAGTGATGCCCATGTGCCCAACCCTTGCCAGGAGGGAGCACGAAGGATGCTGGAATCCAGAAGGATGAATGGTTTGGATAACTGCTGCTAACTCCATTATTTCCCTGCATCCAGGCTGGAGCCCACACTGCCAGTGTGAGAAAGGCCATTTGAGTGATCTTTCAGGGCTGAAAAGAAGAATATCTCCAAAATCCAGCATGAAAGGCTGTTCTAGGAAATCCAGCTCTCGCTGCTGACTCAATAGGTCAGTATGAAAGCTGAGCACGTAATTCATACAGAATAATTCCTCCTGGTTTCCTCTGTTTTCCTCCCCCTGCAGAAATGATCACACTCATTTAGATAACCCAGAGCGAATCCATCCTGTTGGAATGAGAGCCCGGGGCTGTGCTTTTAATGAAGCTGGAGCAGCAGTTTGCAGAAGGATCTTTTGTGCCACCGGGGTTTTTATGTGCTAATGACTTTTCCTCTCACACCTCCGGCTGTTTTTCAAAGAGCTCCAGCCCTGCTGTAACCCAGGGAGCTCCAGCCAGAGGCAGGGAGAAGCCCTGTCAGACTGAGGTAGGACCTGCCGTCATCCCTTTAATAGATGAAAAGCGGACAGGGAAGAGCCCGAGGGCATGGATGGCTCAGGGACCAGGTGATGGATATGGAGCTTCTGAGAGGAGGGTTGGGATCCATCCTAGTCAGGCTTCATTTGGTGCATGCGGAGAGGGGAGAGGGTGGATTCAGCTCCTACTCTGCACTGTGGGAACTGGACTGGAACCCCAGAGCCACTGGATGGGAGCAGATCCCTGAGGGTGACACATCTGGGCTGTGGCACCTGAGAAGGAGCTCAGGGATTCCCAGGAGTCATTATCATTATGAACTGCAAATGTCTGAGCTGCAGGTGAGACAACTCCAGTTCCAAATGTCTCAGGAGTTCCCAGCTCCTGCCCACTCCTTGGAATACATTTGCATTCCCATGCAAGAGAAAAGCAGAAGCACTCCTGGTGCAGGAATAACTGTGAAGGGCTGGGAACAAACACCCTCCACTGAGAAGCTCCTCCTGCAAAGAGGTACTGGTTTCATGGAATTCTGACCCAGAATTCTGGCCCAGTAATGGCTCACCAGGGAGAGGAGGGCCAGGAACATTCCAGAAGAGCTGGTCCCTGCACAAGCACAGGAATGTGAGTGGTAACTGCAACCTCTCTGGTTTCCATCAGGAACACTCGGGACTTTGTGTCCTGTTGTAACACAACCCAGGCTGAGTCCCAGAGCATCACAGCTCCTTCCACACCAGCACTGCCTGTGCTTGCTGACTTTCTGCTGCTTGCACTGGGGAAAAGGGAGCCAGGAGAAGAGCAGAGCATGGATTCCCATTTAAAGGATATTCTTGGATAGAGTTAATATCTCTGTTTTTTGACAGACCAAAACAAGCTCTGGCTTCAGCACCCCTGCTACAAAATCAGTGCTGTCCTTCCAGCCAAAGGACACCTTGCAATTCTTATGGAAAGGACAGCTTGGGAAAGTGGGAGGAACAAAACTCTCCTCCAAAAGTCATTTCTGGTTATGTAAGAGCTCCATCTTGGAAACTCCACTTATACAGAATGAGCTATCGGGATCCTATCAGAAGGAATGTGAAATCCTGTCAGCCCCAAATAACTGTGCAGCCCTCCTCCAAGCTCAGCACCAGAGCTGGAAGGAATCAAGGACACCTTGGAGAAGTGGGGCCTGGCTTTGGCAGTGGCTCCAATCAAGGCTGTGTGGTTAATTAGGTGTGCTGGTCTGTGCTGGCACAAAGGTGCTGTCCAAACCACAGCCAACACCATCCCTCTGCTCCAGCTGGGGCGCCAGAGCTGCCCTGTCCATGGCACATCCTGGGGCAGTGCTGTGCAGGGCAGCAGCTGCTCCAGGCACACCCTGCCAGGGCCAGCCCTTGGCACAGCCCCTGGCCCTGACCCTGCTGGCACAGCCAGGCTGGGGTCTGACTGCACAGCCAGGCTGGGGTCTGACTGCACAGCCAGGCTGGGGTCTGACTGCACAGCCAGGCTGGGGTCTGACTGCACAGCTGGGCTGGGGTCTGACTGCACATCTGGGCTGGGGTCTGACTGCACAGCCGGGCTGGGGTCTGACTGCACAGATGGGCTGGGGTCTGACTGCACAGCCAGGCTGGGGTCTGACTGCACAGCTGGGCTGGGGTAGGACTGCACAGCCAGGCTGGGGTCTGACTGCACATCCGGGCTGGGATCTCACAGCACATCCCTGCTGGCTTTTCACTTTCTGGAGGTGCTGTGCCCGGAGCTGAGGGGCTTTCCCAGGGCTTTGGGGGCCCTGATACAGAGGCATCCCAATGATCCTGGCTGAGGCAGGGCAAGCCAGCAAACTGAGCACTGGCTCTGGCAGGACTCACTGCCATCCACAGGGCTCCTGAACAGATTCTGCTCCACAGGAAAGCACTGAAACTGCTTGTTGCCCTTCACTACTGCACTGCCAACGTGGCAGGAATTCTGTAGCTCCATATCCTGGCTGGTCCTGAGCCAGTGCTGGTGTCTGTGCCCACACCATGGTTAATATACAACTATGATAAAACCCCTGGGGATAATCAAGGAGCTGTGACACTGCTCCAGCTTAACAGAAGCAAAGAACTTACTCTTCATTTACGGCTTAAAAAACCCACAGACCTGAGAAGGAAATACAAATCTCAAAAGAGAATCAAAACAGTCTCATATGCTGTTGTGAGTGCTCCAGGGTCACAGTTAAGGCTGTTCTGCTGTGAGGAAAAATGTGTTTACTCACATTTAAGAAGAGTATTTGTGGGCTGTGAGGAAGAAAGTTGACATGTCTTTCAGTCTGCCTTTCTCTCCTTGGCTTTTGAAGATAACAGAGGTAAAGATCCATTTTCTTCACAGAGGCATTAGCTGCCTTTTCAAACCTCAGTGTTAATCTCTCAATAGACTGGGGATAGGTGGGTGCTGTGAAGAGTTTTTCTGAACCTCAAATCCAGTTTAGCTAGATTACTGAGGGTGGCTGTGCTGAGGCCCTGCAGCAGCAGCTGCTGTGGCTCTGGATCACCCAAAACCACTCATCATGTTTAGTCCCAAGACCAGCCTGGACAATGAGCTCATTCCAGCCAATGTGCAAACTGAAGGCAGCTCACTGAAAAAAACTGTGATTTGGGGATCAGTGCCAGTTCTTGTGGCAAATGTCACCTTCTGCACACCCAGGGTGAGCCCTGACTGACACAACTCACTGAAGAGGGGAAGGCTTCGGGAGCCTTGATGAGCAGACCCGTCCTGGGAAGCTGCAGCAAGGGAGAGACAAAGAACACAGAACTGGCAGGGTGGGCTTCCCCAGGAGGACAAACCTGCCTGGGCACACACAGGGCACTGAGGCATGGGAGCCCTGAGCATGGCCAGGGCACACAGAGCCTGGGAACACGGAGCAGCCCTGAGCACATCTGGGCACACAGAGCCTGGGAACACGGAGCAGCCCTGAGCACATCTGGGAACACGGAGCAGCCCTGAGCACATCTGGGCACACAGAGCAGCCCTGAGCACATCTGGGCACACAGAGCAGCCCTGAGCACATCTGGGGCACACAGAGCCAGGGCACACAGAGCCAGCCCTGGGCACACCCGGGGCACACACAGCAATCAGGGTTGGCAGGGAAAGGGCAGATCGCCCAGGAATTCCACCTGTGGAATGAACCCACCCTGCTGGCACACACGGTGTTTCAGCAAGGCAAAGCAACATCTCAGCTGCTCCTTGCCCTCTCCTGATGCTGCTCTGGGAAATGCATCATCCCCAGCTCCTTGCTCCTTCCTCACCCTCCCCAGCTTCCTATTTATTCTCTCAGTGATGTCACACTTAAACTGCGTCAAAATATAATCCAATTTGACTCCAGGAGGTTTCCTGTCCTGAGCAACTCCTCAGGTT